TATCCAGCGATATCGACATACATACTTACGCACCTCTTACATAGGAAAGTAGGCATGGTATATGGTACATACTACATACATACACGTGTGTGCGCTATAAATATTTGTGCTTTCTTCATGCTTCATTCAATAAAAAAATGCATCGTATTAATGAAAGTATTTCATTTTTGATTGATTTGTAGCAAAAATGCTGGGTTTCATTCTAACTTGCCTGCTAGACTGCATTGCTGTAGAATTTATTACAATTTAATTAAAAATTCCAATTTTTTATACAAAATAGTTCGATATTTAAAAAAATATTTGTTTATAAAAAAAAAAAACGAATATATGTATTTAACTTAGGTAAACAGTTTTTCAATAAGAGCGCTGCACAATCTATGGTACTCGATTTCTTTTACATGGCCATTACGGGCACGCTTGCAAAGGTCCAGACGCTGAGCCCAATTTTCGACGGTTTTCAAGGGTAAATCGGCCGATAATGCTGCAATTACACATTCGATATTCGTATGAAGTTCATCAATCGTCTCTGGCTTATTGGCATAGACCATAAGCTTGATGTAGCCCCACAGGAAATAGTCCATCTGCGTCAAATCGCACAACCCCGCGGCCAATCGACAATTGACTGGGTCATATTGTGAGATAACGCGTTCACCAAACTGGGTTTCCAATAAATCGATTGTGATTTGAGGCGCCGTCCAGTTAGAACCACATTTGGTCCAAGTCCATATCATCCAATTCGGATCGAAAATATACGGTTGTCATTGAGTGATAGCGATAAACGCATGAAACCGTAATTTTTTCGGAATGCAATGGCGGCTCATGGAGCACGTGTTTATTGCTGCCTTACCAATAGCGCATATTTTGCTTATTGACGAAGCCATTCAGCCAGAAATTAGCCTCATCGCTGAAGATGATCTTTCGGCATGGAAACATTTTGTACTGTGCCTGTGGATTTAAATTTTCCCACTAGACGCTCAATTGTTGATCTGATTATGACGACCATAAATTGGACGTAGCGTTCTAAAGTTGATCCCACTGACTCTGAATTTCGGCAGTAAATTTTAATATTTTCGATTCGTTGTTTTATCCATGATGAAATGGCGGACCTTACTGAAGAGAAATGTCAAAAATCAGAAATCATAAACATCAGACTGACTTATTATTTTTATAATGAAACATTTTAGTTCATATATGCAAACGTTTAAAGATACTTTTTTCAAGCGTTGAAATTTTGAAAATTCATTACTTCAAAATTTGACAAATTTTGTCAAAAGTACATGTCCAATATTTTGCCTCAAACAACCCAACAAAAAACGTTTAGCACAAAAAAAAATTTTTTTTTTCATGTATATTTGGATTAAATTGATTTTACGGTTGATGTCTGTCGTTTTCCTCCTACAAATTATATGATTTCGCATTGAAAATCAAGCAATATCGGCGATAAAGAATGTTGGTACCGCTTCAAAAATAAACGAAATGACTCGATTATAAAAAATGTGTGTCCGTCATAGACATTTTACAGTGACTATTTGAGACAAGGATAACACTGGCCTAGAAAAAAAAATTTTTTGTTTGGTGCAGCTCTGTCCGTATCGCTCTGTCCGTATCGCTTATTTTGGTATTGAAATTGGTATTGATATATGTAAAAAATGTGACTGATAGTTTCGTATTAGCTCACAAAATATACCTAAAATCACTTCTAGAATCTTAGGCACCAAAATGAGTGTAGGCCAGTGTAATTTTACTAATCAAACTTTCTACCAAACATCATATCTCTTAACAAACTAGAGAATCACTACGGATTTCAGATTCAGATTAACATCAGTATGATACCTCGAGCAATAACCAAATTAAACGAAGCAATGAATGAACTTAATAATTTGATTTTTATCGGGATACTGAAAATTAAAATTTTCAAGAATTTTTTTTAATCATAAATTCGTCTTGAATTGTTTAACCACCAGAAAAGATAATTTTTTTTGTTATATGCTCCATTTCTTTTGACCATTGATTTTAGTTTAATCAAATAATGAAATTCTATGCATTATTTGCATTATTTGCAAGAACTGCTGTGCGGAGAAGATAAGCTAAACGAATGATTGAGCGAATGTGGTGAACAAAGGAGAAAATAATATATCAGCAACAAATGAATGGCGCATTGGTTGATTGAAAGCATAAGCACAGAATAATGTGCTTTGGGTGAATCTTTATATTGCAGCATTTACTTGGCGACATTTTGCAAGGAAGTTTTAGAGCGCACGCTGTCATGTATGTATGTATGTATATGGATTATTTGGCTTGATTCAAACTAGTTTTCAAATAGAAATGTGGTTGAAAGTTTCCCTTTTTTTCCTGTGGGCAGAAAATAGTAAGACCTTTTAATTTTAACCCATTCGGCAAATCAAAGGGAAAACTCATAATACTTGTCGGCTTCTACACTGGCCATTCTGAGCTCAAGAAGCACTTATTTAACATGGGTCTAGCTTCTTGTGCCAGTTGACGGTTCTGCGATTTGGAGTCTGAAACACCAAAACACCTGGTAATTCAGCAGTCTGTAGGCGCAGAATAAAGGCCATTGGATCATTGTTTCCAAATCTATACGATTGTCTTGCTGATGTGCATAAAGTGCATTCTGCGATTTTAGTGATGAGTGAAATTATTCAACAAAGAAGTTCCATAAAATTTTGTCTGCGGAATTAAACTTTTGGTACCGAAACATACAGAATGTTGAAAAAGGCCTTCGGTGATAACTGTTTGTCGCGAGCACGTCTTTTGATTGGTACTAATTATTCAAAGAGGGTCGAGAATTGACAACGAATCACCTCCATAATGCCAATCAACATCAACTGATGATCAACACTTCAATAAAATAAAGGAATCGGTCCTTGATAATATTAGTCGGAAATCTTTCTGGTATCGCTGGAAAATGGAAGGGATTAGTGAAAACCATTTTGAAATATCATTTGTGCCTATGAAAAGTAAAAGCACGAACACGGTTCTAAAATCACTCATTTTTTCGAAAAACAGCGTCGCATTAACGGAAGTGAAACAATGTTTTCCGACTACCAGGATGTCACGAAATATGTTGTTACTGGCGATAGTCTTGAATATCGGCCGAATATCAGGCAATTGTGGTGAATCGAAGCCGAAGAAAGCACATCAAAGCAGGTGAAAAATAAACACACAGACAGTTTTCTACGATTATCGAGGTGCGATGCACGCCGAATTCCTTCAGACCGATCAAACTATCAACAAGGAAAAAGGAAGGTTTAGAGTGTTTTGCGTATTTTCCATAAATTGACTTTAACAACTCTTTCGAGAATTGCAAAACACAACAATCAATTGACTTTTTAAAGCCACTGTACTTTATAAAAGTTTGTATGCAATATTTTTCACGCGTGTATAAAATTATTTACTTGCATACAGTCATGGGCAGAGAAATATTACACTTTGAAAATCTAATAAAACGTTTATTATTTATATAAACAGAAAACATACAAGTATATAATTTTTAATTTAAGTTATGTAAAAAAAAAATGTTTTTAATAGTTTTTGTTCATTTATTCAGGCTGAAATCTCTCCAGCCCGATTTTCACTGAAGATGATTCAAACAGCATATTCCGTTGTTTTATGCCAAAGAGAGCTGTGAAGATTTTTTCACTTTTCTGCAAAGGAATCACTTTTGACTGAGTTTATTGCGTTATATACCACTTTGCTCGAAATTTCATTATTTTGGAGGTCAGAATTGAATTTTCGCCATTTTGTGTAGATCAAAAATGACACCCCGTTTTTCCAGAGTACAATTTGTACCCACTTTATTTTTAATTCTAGCATTTCAGTTTTAATTTTCATAATGCGCGAGATCAAATAGAAAATCCAACTATTAAAAATAGTATACCTACTTATAAATAATGTGATTCTGAGTTAGTATACGAATATTTCAAATATAATAATTAAGTTTATTTTTTAATTACTACAAAATGTCGGTACTGGCAACCCTGTGTTGTAAGCGGGCAAACAGCTGACTCCTTGCTACAAGAAAAATTAAATTTTAGCAGCTATCAACGTACATGGACGGTAGAAGCGGTGAGTGTTCATTTCATTGCGCTCTCATGAGATATGTAGGTCGGTCGGCTGATTCGGTATACGATTTTGTGTCGGTCTTTAACTGAAGTATAAGCACGATAAGGGAATACGCTACTGAACTTTGTTAGAAATTTTTAGGATGCACCTATTTAAAAAAGTAAAATCTGATTTGAAAACTTTATATTAAAAGTGTAAAATTATTTAATAAAACTAAAAACTGTTTTGGAAAATTTATATTCAAAGTGTGTTTTTTTTTCTGTCCATGACTGTATATACAATTGCACAATATTTGCGTAGAAGCTATTGGAACGTAACAATAACAACAGCAGTTTGTAATAAAATCAACAACATTTTCAACAAATTGTCGCAATATTTCCATTGTTGTTTTTGCCGTTTGTATATGCGTATCAAAAGTATCTTGCATACATATGTATGTACGTACTTGTATTTTTGCAACAGTTTCATGAAAATGTTGGAATTCAAGAATTTCCACTATTGGTTATAGCGTCAGTCGCCGTTGATTTTGGTGCGCATATGCCATTGCTCCTTCTAGCTACAATTGTTGCCGGAAATTGTGTGACGACGCTTTTATTTTATACAATTTTCGCACAATCTAATTACTAATTCTGCAATTGGTTAAGTTGTATGAATGTATTTCTGCGTATTTGCCATTGTTGTGGGAGCTGAAGAATCGCCAAACGCTTTTGCGCCTCGCGCATTATTCGAACAGCCACAGTTGTGCAGTCCATAAAGCGCTGTTATCGTTGGCTGTTGGTGCAGTTAGCGTTTTTACAACATTTACTACTTTTAAATTTAACGGCTCAAATTAAATTTCAATTTTTTTAATTATTTTAAACTCAAACTAGCAGAGTTCCCTAACATTATTCTCATAACTTCCAATTCGGTAATTGCAGAGTGTGATTGCGGTTGCGTTGATTCATACACATCGTCGTCCTCGTACAACGGTTCTGGCGCCGCCGTGTCCATTTGCTTAAGCAACAGCAATAGCGAAGCTGTCGGAGTTGGTGTTATAAGCAGCACGACCGCAGTAGCAGCAGCAACTGCTTCAGCGCAAACGGCAAGCAGCAATTCGGAAACGCTGGCAGCGGTGGCGACAACGACGGCAACCAACAGCCTCAAGACGGCGCACACAAAAGTCGCTACGTCTGGGGGGCACGCCAACACGCAGCCCCCCAGCAAGCGTTCGAGCAGCGGTGCCGACGGTGATTATCAGCTGGTGCAACATGAGGTGCTCTATTCGCTCTCCGCCGAGTATGAGGTGAGTTTGCATATAAAACAAAATTAAAAAAAAAAAACGTAAAAATTCTGTATTTTGCTTTGTTTTTATGTAGGTCTTGGAGTTTTTGGGACGTGGCACGTTCGGCCAAGTGGTTAAATGCTGGAAACGTGGCACGTCGGAGATTGTGGCTATTAAGATCTTAAAGAATCATCCTTCGTATGCACGTCAGGGACAAATTGAAGTATCGATTCTATCGCGTCTCAGTCAAGAAAATGCTGACGAGTTCAATTTTGTGCGTGCTTTCGAGTGTTTCCAACACAAGAACCACACGTGTTTGGTTTTTGAAATGCTCGAACAGAATTTATATGATTTCCTTAAACAAAATAAGTTTTCACCGCTACCTTTGAAATATATACGGCCCATTTTAGAGCAGGTTAGTCTAATAGAAATACACATGTCTATATATTATCAATGTTTATACCGTTATAATTTTTGTTTATACTATTAAATAATTCTCTTAATTTTTAACGCTCATGCGCTTTAGGTTTTAACGGCGTTGCTAAAATTAAAGCAACTTGGTTTGATTCATGCAGATTTAAAGCCGGAAAATATAATGTTGGTAGATCCAGTAAGACAACCTTATAGGTAAGTAACCCAATAATACTTCAAGACACGTTTTTTTAATTGCAAATTGAACTGTTATACCCACATATGTGTATTAATTATTTTCTTAAAAAAAAAAAATATAGGGTGAAGGTTATAGATTTTGGCAGTGCGTCGCATGTCAGCAAAACGGTATGCAACACTTACTTGCAGTCCCGTTACTATCGTGCACCTGAAATTATTTTGGGTTTGCCATTTTGTGAGGCAATTGACATGTGGTCGCTGGGTTGTGTGGTGGCCGAGTTGTTCCTGGGTTGGCCCTTATATCCGGGCTCATCTGAATTCGATCAAATAAGGTTAGTTACTCATATTAATCTCATTGTTTTAAAAAGTTACTTAAATAACTATTTTCTACGCCACACAGGTACATATCACAGACACAGGGTCTGCCTACAGAGCACATGCTGAACAGCGCCTCAAAGACATCAAAGTTTTTCTATCGCGACGTTGATTCGACGTATCCGTTTTGGCGCCTGAAGACCACCGAGGAACACGAGGCAGAGACTAATACGAAAAGCAAGGAGGCACGCAAATATATATTTAATTGCTTAGACGATATTGGTCAGGTAAATGTACCAACTGACTTGGAAGGCGGTCAATTGTTGGCCGAGAAAACGGATAGACGCGAGTTTATTGATCTGTTAAAGCGTATGCTAACCATTGATCAAGAGCGTCGTCTTACGCCAGCTGAGGCGTTGAATCACTCCTTTGTACGCCTCACACACCTAGTTGACTACGTCTATTGTAATAATGTGAAAGCCTCGGTGCAGATGATGGAAGTATGCCGACGTGGCGATTTCCATACGTAAGTATTCAATATTTTCCACTGTCACTTTTTAAAATTTTAGTTTTTGTGCAAATATTTATTTATTTTATGCATTTATAGCGTGCAACCAGCTTCTACATTGGTTACCAATTTTGTACCGAGCACTACGGAGAATATGACGTTCACCATCAACAATCAACTGACCAGTCAAGTGCAGCGTTTGGTGCGTGAACGTCCACTAGCCTATGAGGGTCTTTATCAAATCTACGGCGGTCGCAATGTCGGCCGTCAGTACACACAGGGACGCGCCGATGCGTTCCAACATCAATTAAATATTTTGTGTCCATCATCTTATCAAACTATGCCCAGTCCCACCAAGCACGTGGTTGTTGGCAGCGCCACAATGCAGCCACCATTGCAAGTACGTAGACAGGCTGAGCTTTAGCTTTTTAAAAATAATGAAAATTAAACATTTCAAAGGTTCCTCCACAGCAGTATGTCAATGTGCCTGTGCCAGTGTCGATGGTGGAACCGGCTTCCGGACAACGCATGTTGCTTACCAATCGTGTACAAGCCAGCGGCGTGGCTTGGCCGCAAACCGGTCGACAAATGGCTTTAGTGCCTTCGTGGCAGCAAGCGCCAGCACATTCGCTAATTGTCGATTCGGCACCATTTTTGAATGTTGAGGAGATTTATCCGAAACACCACTTGAATATACCCAGAAATGATCTCAAGAAGGAGTCGCCAGTGCAACATTTAGTGTAAGTTCTTTACGTTTAAAGCTTAATAATGTGCTTTGTTTGCTTTTAGAACACAAGTAATTATATATTTTGGTTTTGCAGCACTAAGAGCAACTCGTATCGTGTGCCGCGCCACGATAAAAAGGAAAATAATCAGTTATCACCGGTTAAGAAGCGTGTGAAGGAGAGTTCACCGCCACACCAGCAGCGCTACAACCGCGCCTCACATGTTTCGCCGCAGTACCATAGTCACCACAATTGCAACTATGGCAGCAACTACAACAGCAATGCCGGCCCAGTTATTACTTCGGCATCGTCTGGTAGTAAGGATGAAGAAATCATATATAAGTATAAGGTTTACATTTTCTAAATCACTTCCTTTTTCCTATTTGCAGACATTGTTAGCCAAAATAGCAACAATGGTGGTGGTCACCATCATCACAGCAGCAATTCGGCCAATCAACAGCATGTGATCAGCAGCAGCAGCAGCAATGGTGGTGGCGGTGGTGGCGGCTATAGCAATAGCAATCATCATATTGTCAACAATTGCAGCGGCAACAACAGTGTTGGTGGCAACTATCACCACCAAACACATCACACACAGCAGCATCAGCCGACTCAGCAAGCGGTGCAACATTCGCACCAGCATCATGGCGCTATTGTAAAGCAGCAAACAATTACTATACACGACACGCCATCACCTTCGGCTGTCATAACGATTTCGGATAGCGAGGATGAGGGTAATGAGCCACCCGCCCCGGCACCGGTCGCACCGGTAATGAAGCAACGCGCACATGCGCAGTCGCAAACGAACCCTGCTTTATTGCAGCACTCGTCATCATCCTCGTCGTGTCGTGCTAATGGCCACCAACATCAGGTGCAGTCACAGCAGCAACAACAGCCGCAACATGTACACCATCACCACCATCAGACACATCAGCAGGTGCAGCCGCAGCCGCAGCCACAACAGCAGCAGCAGCAGCAAATTCAGCCGCAGCATCAGCATCATACTGCTAACATCTATGGTAATACATCAACAACCACATCAACGTCTACTAGTAGCATCACTAATCATTCAAAGGCAAAGTTATCACATGAGCCACAAACGCATACGAATTCGTATACGCATTCAAATCTAACCCATAGCGCTGATGTCAGCATCAAGTGTCAAAGTAGTTCGAACAGTAGCCATAGCCATAGCAATAGCAATAACAGTAATCCAAGTAATAACATTAATAGCAATAGTCAAGGCGGTGGCGTACATAACAATCATAATAACAATAATAATAATAACAATAGCAACCACAATAGTAGCAATAGCAGTAGTAACAGTAATCAATATGCCACCGCCGCCCGCAGTACAGCAACAAATGCTGTGCAGGGCGGAAGCGGAAGTGGAACTGGATTTGGTGGTGCAGGAGCCGGAGCAGATATTGCAATGGGCGCCGCCGCGGTCGCCGCATGCTCGGCACAGCAACATGTGCAGCAGCACGCACACTCGCACTCGCATACGCATCATCATCATCATAATTCACATCATCATCATCATCAGACGCCGACACAGCCACAGCTTATGCAGCCACAATATATTGCAAGCACTCACCATCATCAATCAATGCCACAACCACAGCCACAGCAGCAGCAATGCGGCAGCCTCTCTCACAATTCCGTCTCCGCATCCTCTACCGCAACCAACACCAATTCCAATTCTACTTCTACTTCCACCCACCACCATTACACTAGCAACAGTAGCAGCAGCAATCATCATCATCATGTTGCTAGCAACATCTCCGCCATATCCTCAAATACGAACAATTCTTCCCATCCATCCTCTAACGTATCCACCACCACCAATCCCTATCCACCACCCATGCTATCCACATCCACCACAGCCTCTTCCTCAACCACCAGCATCGCTCATCGTCACAGCAAACATGTACAGTTAGTAATCCCATGCGTAACCGTAGGTGATAACGACACAGATGAGGTGCGCCGACGCGGCAGTCATGCACACAGCGGTGGCAACAGTCCCAGGCAGCAACAGCAACAGCATCATCAGCACCAGCAACAACAACAACAGCAGTTGCAGTCATCCTCTTCACACCATCATCATCAACAACCACAACAGCACCAACCGCAACCACAGCACCAACAACAGCCGCAGCAGCAGCAACAATATCAGCAGCCTGCTCAGCAGCAGCAACAACAACAGCAACAGCCTAATATTAAATACGAACCGGGGCAATCGCAGAAAAAGCGCATCTTGGCCATGGCCCAGAATGAGTGCTACAACAATGGCGGCAACGGCGGTGTTGGCTGCAGCGGCAGTTTAGGCAATCAAACCGCCAGTTTGCCGCATTTGCCAACCAAACAAGAGCCGGCCGAATTCTACGAGTATCCGCCACAGCATGCCACATCGGTTGTTGTAGACAACAAGCGTTCTTCATGGGCAGCCACAGCCACACAAGCGCCACCGGCACACCATAAACGTGAGGTCACCTCGACGGCCTCCTCTGCCTCGGCCTATGTACAGCATACGGCCTCAACAGCAGCAGCTGCACCGCCATTGGCACATTCGAAGAGCTCATCTTCGGCTGTCGGCGGTGCTGTGGCAGTTGGTGCAGTTTCTGGTGCCGCTGCAGGTCCGCCCTCGTGGGGTGCACCACAAGTATACCATCGTCAGCAGCAAACTCACGCTGCTGTACAGGTGGTTGCACCGTCGGCGCAACAGCAGCAACAACAACAACCGCAACATCATCAGCATCAAGCGAATACACCAATCGGTGGTTCGCCTGCCGCGGCCACTGCAGTTATGCTCCAGCCAGATATCTATGCCCAGGGTGATATGTATCGCCGCCCAACTGTGTTTGTGTCGCAGGCGACTCCTACATATGCATACAATCGTGCGGCAGTGGCGCCACCCCCCGCACACAACAGCTCGAGCCGTCAGGTGAGTTTTGCGTCACGCGTTTGAAAGCGCTCGCAGCTAAGTGAATTTAGTAAATATTCAAATTTTCTTTAACTGTCCATAAGGTGAACTTATTTATATCACAGCTTTTTCTTATCATATTTCTTTACATTTTATTATCTAAAAAATCCCATTTTAAATTTTTTAAATAGTTTTTGTGTCAAAATTTGGAAAAAAATCAGTTCCAATTTTTTTTGGCTTACAGTCTTCTAGGTGTAATCGCTCAGTTCAATCAGTTGTCTTAAAACACGTTTTTTCTCAAAACTACATTTTCAAATTGGCTGTAGTTGTAACTCGAAAACAAATCAACCCATTTCTTTGATTGTTATATCCTGATCAAGTTATGTAAATTTTGCCACGAACTTTGCAAAACCCAGAAGGAACTTCGGAGACTATAAAGTACAGTGGGTCTATTCTGTAACACGATTCGAAAAAAAAGTTTACTCGTATTTGGATTTTTTATGTTCTGTAACTCCATTTTCGGATTTTCAAGCCAATTTTGGAATAAAATATTCGTTAGCTTTTTAGTTGTAGAAAGCAAAAACGAAAATTGTAAGTATTTACACTGTCACAGGGTGGCACAACTTTCGCATAATTATAAAGTAGATCCGAATTTCGAATAGAATACATTTACGAATGTATATACAGTATCCGGCAAAACTATGGTTATCCCACCACATTTTTTCATCCCTCTAATCTCAATAAAATACCTTAGTCAATAGTTATTTAGTGAAATGCCAAATTCTAAAGAAAAAAGCGTTGACTTGCGAAAACTGATTATTAATGGTCATTTAAGTGGACTGGGGTACGACAAAATCGCATAGAAATATTCTAGAAGCAAGGCCACAAACCAAGAAGTGATCAAAAATTACAAGAAAAATGTTGGACTAGAGAATACGCTAAGATCAGGCTGCTTCAGGGCAACCACTGCTCGCGAAGAGACTAAAAAATAGAGAATTGTAGAAAGATTCAGCCCGATTTCTTCAGCAGTGCCTTCAAGTTAATGTTTCTGAACGAACGAATCAGCGGATAATTCGAGAATATGATTATTCTAGCCACTACCAGATCAAAAAGCCAATCAGTAAAAAGAACTTGAAAGAAGAACTTGATTTGGAAAAAAGGAATTTGGAGTGATGAGAGCAAATTCTAATTAAAAATTACGAAAGGAAAAGAAAAATTTTGACGAAAGAGTCATGAGTTGGATATGTTTTAGTTTGGTGTTGTTGTAGTGATCTATCAAATCTGCCAACAGCCGAAGACAAAATCACGGGAGAGTCCTATACACAGAGTTCAAATTTAGAAGGCTCAACTCGAAAAATGGGTTTGCAAGATAACTTTGTACATCAGCAGGACAGTGATCCAAACATGCAAGTCGGGTTGAGAAAGAATATATCGATCAAACATCGATACAGCTCCTACCATGGTCTGCTCGAAGCCATGCCATAAATCTTATTGAGCTTTCATGGCAATATTTGCATGACAAGCTTGACAAGCTTGACCGATCCTTTTGTCGTTACAATAAACAGGACATTTTTCAAAACACACCACAATTCGCCCCGATTCCACGACAGTCGGGTCTAAGTAACGGGTAAGGACTGTAAACTTGGCAACCTTCCTCGAAATTATTTCAGGAATGTTTTTACCCGCTATAACAACGACTTTCGGCTCTAATCAACGCTAATATAATATTTAAATATAATTTTTTTAATGCAATATTCACATAAACAAAATAGAAAAACATTATTGCTGTCTGTTTTTCTATTTTATCATTTCTCAAAAGATATCATGATATTGGTCTTAACATTCTTAGGGTATACATAGTTTTGTCGGATACTCTATATAAATTAACATCATGACGAGCTGAACTGTCTGTCTGTATATCTGAGAGCTTGTGCTCCAGTTTCCAAGAGGTTGCTCATTTGTCGAACCCACAGCTATCGAACCACTATAGCACATAGCTGTCATACAACTCAAGTTCTTGTATGGTATCAAGTTCATGATGGTAAACTTTCGTTTTTAACTCTAACACAGAGTGTACCCCTTAATTAAATGGAGTTATTTTATTTCCAAAACTAATAATTTTCGTTCAACATGACAAGACTTCTATAGGGAGAATCCTGGTATAGATAAGATAAGATATGTGGATGAGAATTGCACCGCGACCTTGACTCTATTGTACGCTGTGGCCCTGGTATATCCACCTATCTAAAATAAACGCATTCTAAATTACCGTTATTGTCTTACTTAGATCTTCTGTTAATTGACAGGTAATACCATCGCATCCACTACCCGCCCATATACATTTCCCCACACAGTACAGCCAATTTGGTCCACTAAGTCCAGCACAAGTTGCCGCCAGCAAGCATGCGCATTACGCACCGACGAACATATGGTACGGTGGAGAATAAACTGGTTTAAAACACTCGAGTGAGTCCAACGAAACGAATGAATATTTCCAATTATTACTTAACCTAAAGAATTGTATATTTCTACATTAATCTTTCTCATTTTCTTTTCAACAAACTTTTTTGGTGTATTGTATTTGTTTTGCCTTGACCCCAACATGTACATGCATGCAGATCGTTTCTAACTGATTGTGTTGGCGGCAGCAACGACAGATTTACGAACACCAAATGCAATACAAAGCACTACAAAACCAATTACAACAATAATAACAGTGGTAGTTTAGGCGACTTGCCGCAGTATTTGCAAACAAGCGCCCAACTACAACAAAAACAACAAGATTTTAAATTACCAGCGTGCACACGGTACGCGCTGAACGCTGAAAGTGAAGCGGCTGCAACAGAAACCAACACAACAACAACAATTGAGGATAATCAAAATTTGTCTTTTACACGCTGGTGGTTTATGCTGATGCAACAAACCATCAACTACAATTACAGCAACATATTGCAACGAACGAACACTGCAACGGCAACAGCAACAACATCGCTACCAGCAGCATTTTTAGATGAGCTACTTGGGAATGTAGCAAACATATTTTCAAGTGAATAAATTGCAACTATAAATATTAATGCGTCTGCTACCGCCACAGGCAGCGGTAGCTGGCGCACACAACAAATACCAAATTGCGTTGATTAGAATTGTATTTCACCAACTGTATATAGCGTATGTAGATTTGATGATACAACAAAAACTTACTGAAATATTGCCGATGAAATTACTTTTCACTTACATAAATATGGAGTACGCAGCGGAGTCTCTCAACTACATAATTAACAAATGTAATTAGACAGTTACTTTAACTTATTAACACACATACACATTCACACACTTATAGCCGCAATAAACCAGGACGTAATAGTTGTTTTAGACGAGCCAATGTAGCGAAACAGCTCTACAGCATAGTTTTTTTGTACACAGTAGGCAAAATATGCAATATTTGATAGAGCGGAAACATATACATACATAGCTCATAGTTGAAGTCAAGCAAACACTCACATATATACACATACGCATGCATATAATGATTTTTAAGTAAGCAAACTATAACATTTATAACACTTTAACGTTTATTATTACTTTGAAAAAGAAAAGAAGAAAAAATACAGCAACAGACGTACATACATATATATTGCTAATACAAATTACTCTAATTGTTCTTAACAGCAACACTATTATTATATAATATGCATTCTACCTATTTATATTTCGTTTATATTACGTAAGTTTACAACGGCATAATTTTGTAAGCGGAAAGCAAATCTAAGTGATTAATGTAACAATGTACTTTAAAGCAAAATAATACCAAGAAAATAGAAAACGCAAAAACTACAAATATGTAGGCGTAAGGCACACATTTTGAAGCCTAGCCCTGCATATATTTAACTAAACTAACTAAATTAGTTATTAAAAGCAAAAGAAGAAGAAAAGAATTTGTTGCTTTAATATTAAGCGTCTGTGTATTAGACTACATACAGCAGTGTTACCTTAAATCTGAAGGGTAAAAGAAAAAACTCCTTGCTAAAATAATATAAAATCTTCACTGGGCAAAACATTTTAATAAAATTTGCTTAATACGTGTGAAATAAAATATATTTATACATTAATAATGCAGATTTTTTCAATAAATGAGCTGAAAAGTGATTTAAGTCTAAAAAAAAAAACTGATTTAAGTCAATAAAACTAATTTAGGTCACTTAAACTTTATGCGCACGCGTGTAGTGATCTTTACGATAAACACTTAACACACGCGTAAGTTTGAAATTAAATTAATAAAAATAGTTTTTTAGCACACAATAAAGCGCTTTTTGGGTCTCAATTAAGTTGTACTGGATGAACTTGTATATTTTCTATTTCGCGCTAACAAATTTTTAAAGAAAAAATCATTTTTTTCTGAACAAAAGTAGAAATTTTTAAACAAAAATTGTAATTTGAAAAAAAAATGTTTTTTTTCTACACAAAAATTTGAAATTCTAAAAAATAAATTGTCCGCACGAATTTTTAATTTTTTTTAAGTTTTGCCAAATTTGCTAACAAATTTCTAAACAAAAATTTAAATTTTTTAACAAAAATGCAAATTTCTGATAAAACATTGTCCAAACGAATTTAAAAAAAAATGTTTTTGTTTCAACAATTGTGAAATAAGCATTGCGCTGTTTTTTTTTTAATTGTAAACTGATTTTTTTATATTATTTCAAGTTTAAGTAAAATTCACAGCATTTGCGCTGTGCTTATACGCACATTTGATTTTCATTGCTTATATTATGAATATATAATGTTTTCCTTACTTTGACTCAGAAGGAAATAAAATAATATTATAATATTCTTCTTGTTCTTTATTGGTTCGCTGTAAAAAAAAAAAAATAATAATAATAACATTACAAGCACATATTTACATTATGGAATTACATAAATTCAATGAACAACTTGTGTAGTGCATTATATAAATATATACATATATAATTTACTTTATTTTAACACAAAGCATAAATTCAACAGCAACGCCTGTGTCAAACCATAACTTTACCAATATAATTATTATTTATTAAAAAAAATACTTCACAGCTGCTAAAAGTTAATTTTTTAAACTTTATTTTTTTAAAAAATTGCTTTAAAATTGCTAAAACTTAATTTTTTTTTATCACTACGCACCTAAACGTACATAAGTGCTAAGGTGAAGTTTCATGCGTTTCAATTTGCTAATTAAGCAAATCGCCGCTAATTTAACATTAACATTTTGTTTTCAATAAAAGAGAGACAAAAATAATATTCAATGCAAGTTTAGATAAGAAATTTTAGCAGTTAAGTTGACTTACAACAATAACAAGGCATATGCGAAAATGAATTAATTGCGCAGGTTTTTTTTAGGTTAGAACTAAAACCTTCAATGATCCTCTTTTACATACGCAATAAATTTAATGTTTTTAAGACCGAACTCAATATATATTTCGTTTTACATACCCTATAAGCGGAAAATTGAGTTTTCATGTTGATGAAAAATACACTTAATTTTTTTTTATTGAATGCAGCATAAAATAATTTCGAAATAAACAATTGCAATTAATTGTTTAAACAAGTAAATTACTTTTTGACCTAATAAAAACTTTACACTTGCATGCTTTTTTTAAGTATAAACATTCTCTTAAAGGTTATTTTTGTTTTGTTTAAAGGCTTAATGCCTTCGTTAAACCTCAATAAAAACAACTAGAAATGCGTGAATGTACAAAAATACCGTTTAAGCTTATTGCTTTTGTTTTTATTAAAGACATTAATTCGTTAAGCCTCAAGAACAATAAGAACAACAACTAAAAATGCGTGTTTGTATAAAAATGAAAAAAATGTAAATTGCAAATATTTTAAACTAAAAAATAAAATAAAATTTTACAACACCACAAGCTGACATCTCTGCTTTTTCGCAACAGTTTAGCAAAGCATTTTAACAAAACAAACCTAATTACAACACCAACATATACATATATGCAGTTAGTTACTTCTTTGCAAGAACACTGCAACACTTTGCGCTATTGCCGCAATAACTGTTTTTTTCGGCAAAGAGTTTTCTTTTTTACCCTAAAATTTTTTTTTGTACGCCCTGTGATTTAAAAAAAAGCTAACAAAACAAAATACTGATAAATATTATGTTTATGTAATGAAGAAATACGTACATACATGAGAATAAACGCACTCCATTTCCTAATTGCTTACAGCGTTATTTTTCAATGCAGTGTTGCATGTGAGATTTTTTTTTTTTGGTGAGCGTTGTTGCGCACAAGTGATATTAGAAACCTTGTGCTTGAACGTGCACAGTAACAAAATGTAGTTTTGTGTGTGTTAGTGACCACTTATGTAATATTTTCGTGCATATGTCACTAATAAAATGGCACTTATGTTTATATATGTAT